CCTAACTCAACTAACAAAGAACATGGTCTGCAGAACATAAAGATTATTTCAAGAAATATCAGTACTTGAAGATAGATTAATACAGTGGTCCCTCGCTTTTCGTAGTTCTCGGCAATCGTAAATTTCGCTAATCAAAGGGGTATTTTCGTATAAACATGGACTCGCTTTTCATAGGTTGACTCGCGAATAGTAGTTCGTCCGGGACGCGTACGCAAGGTGTGAGCCGGGGCAGCCTCCCTACCCAGCCAGTCTGGCATTGTTTACCAGCGAGTGAAGGTCCCCTCAAGTGCTCCTACGAAATATTTCATAATATTCCACTCATTTTAGTGCTTGCAAGTACTAAATAAGCTACCATGGCTCCAAAGAAAGCTCCTAGTGCCAAGCCTGTGGTAAAGAAGGTGAGAAATATGTACATTGACAAAGTCTTGGGCCATTTTAGGGAAGTGTTAAAGAGATGCCAGAAACAGAGCTCTCTCTCCACAGTTACTTTGCGAGACAGGACTAGAGTGACTCTCAAGGTGGTCCTAGTGGCATTAAGAAACAGAGAAGAGAAGCAACCCCAGAGAAGCAATTGGTACCTGAGGTGTTGCTGGAAGGGGATTCCCCTTCCAAACTGTAAATAATCCAATCTCTCTCCTCCTCCAGTCTCCCATACACTAAGAAGAATCTCCAATAAAGGTAAGTGTTATGCTGTTAATGTTTCATTCATCATTTCCCATTGTATTGTTTATGTACTACATGTATATTTCATGTAAAAAAATTTTTTGTTTTAATACTTCTGGGTGTCAGGAACGGATTAATTGTATTTACATTATTTCTTATGGGGAAAATTGATTCGCAAATCGTAAATTTTGTTTATAGTAGCTCCTCCAGGAATGGATTAATTACGAAAAACGAGGGACCACTGTACTTGAAAAGTCATATGTATTAGTTTTAATTACAAAAAATCCCTTCATGTCCCACTGACAGGAATCACTCCATTTATCTAAACTAGAAATACAAACCCTCAAAAATAAATTATACACAAATTATATTCAAATTATTAAGAAAAACCTTTTAGTAATAATTTAATATACTGTAGAATACTTCCCTCTCATCAAACATTCACATAGTTTTTAGTCAAACATGTATAAATTGAAATTATCCTTTTCTTTATCATCCTAAGATAATGATGGCTGCAGCAAGCCTGTATCAGGTCTCTAGTCTGCAATAAAATAAAAGTTACAAGAAGGAGCAACGAGGTAGGGTAAGGTGTGGTATAATTGCTTCAAGTTTTGTACAGGACAATTCATTCTTTGTATCCCCAGAACTTACTTCAACAATTTTTTTTAAATAAATGTATAATTTTTTCAATTAAAAATTTATATATAAAAGAAAAACACCCAAACAGATAAAAAAAAAAAAAATGGCAAGCCTGATAGCAATGAATTTTTCTTTAAAATATCCAGCAAGCATGTAGTATAAAAATTACACTGCATAATTTTACTGCATCATTCGTTACATATGTAATATTTACTCTACTAATATTTTATTTTAGTATTTTGTGAAAACACTATGAGTCAAGTAATTCAAATACTGTTTTATAAAAAATTATATTTTTGATAAATTACAGACTTCTTTAAAATGTAGTTTTGTTAAACAAGTAGCCAAAAACTGCTGTAAGTATATTAAATGTTACAGAAGAACCTGTAATCTCAACTGAAATTTGTAATTTCCAATCTTGTAGGTGATGACCCCATTTAAAAGTTCACAATATTGAAAAGAATGCTTTTCCGAAGTTTACTAGTTGCTGCTCAAGCCAGAAAATCTCTTCTGAAATTTTGTTGCTAGACTATTAAATGTTCTCCATTACACAGCACAGATATAATGCACCCTCTACATCTCCTGCCAAAGGATGTTACATTTAGAATATTCTCAAATGTTTCCAACATGGTTCTTACCCCGGTATTTTAAGATGCCAAATATCTCCACACCCTCGAGCAATAAAGATCCCAAAGAAACACTTTTAAATTAAAGTACCCGTCCAATTGAGCCTCGTACAATAGTTTTGCACGTGGTACTGCTTATCTTCCAAGTTATCCAGTACAAAACAGCAATGAAGAGAAGAGCAAGTAACAGAGTAAAGGTAATGACTGCAATTCTCCGAGGTGAGCGACTAATATGAAACATGGCAAAACAATACTACTACTATCTTAGCAACTGGCAGGAAAATTTCTTCAAAATTACCTAGGTAGTCTAGGCATATTTTGCCTTGGAAACCTACAAGATAAGTTCAACAGAAACAAACTAATTCAAGCCACTAATTCAGCCCCATGTATACTACTGAATAGTTTCAAATACAGTTCTCCAAGTGGTCTTTGAGATGTATCCAGTTATTTCTTGTAACCACTATAAAGATTATTTACTATATTACAGTAAAACCTTGATTTAACCTTCAAACTGTGTCCAATGTACTAGTACACAACTGATGACTGTGTCCAGCATACTAGTAAACAACTGATGACTGTGTCCAACGTACTGGCACTGGGAATTTTTTGTACCTTCAAATCTGCCACCTGCCACTATTTTTGACCTCAGCACAATTCGCTGGGTCTTCTACAATCCATTAATACATTTGAAAAAATCTACAGCCAGGAGAATCCACACACTGCATCATGGTTAATTACACGTGATGACTGTGTCCGACATACTAGTATGCCTTGCAAGCGTAAGTAAATAATGAAATCAGGAGCTGTTGTCCCATCACCATCTTTCCTACCAGCAAACAGGGTGTGCAAGTGACAAACATGACTTATTTATCCAAAATTTATAAAAATTTCATGATATTAACAGTAGAATTTAACCATAAGTAAAAAATATATAATAAAAACAACTATACCTTATACAGTATATAACCCACTGACTCTTATTTCTGTGTTTTAAGGAATGTTACAATCTGAAACAATTATAAGTAAACCTTGTACATAACTTTAGAAGATCAAAAAATTACCTTTATTTCAAGTGGAACAATGTCAGGATATGCATTTCCCCATGTTTGAAACACTGAAACATCTTTAACCTTATTATACAGCCTCTCCTCACTTAGCGATGTACTCGTTTACCGACTTGGACTTATGATAGACTCTCTGACCAGTATGTATACGTAAATTATGTATATTAGAGCTGATTTCCTCTATTCTGTTTATTACAATATACAGTACACTAATGTATAAACATTAATAAATATGCCAGAAATATTATAAACTGTGCAAAGGTTACATTACAACAGTATCAAAGATGGTTGACATAAACCCACTACCATTATAGTATGCTCCTCGCTTAGTGACTAATTCTGTCGTTAAGTGAGGCAAGGCTGTGCAACAGAGATCAATCTCACAATCAACATCCCCCCAATGAAAAGCAGGGGTGACATGAGTACACTAAGAGACAACACTATAAGTGGCAGGGGCCCTAGGCTGTTCAACTGCCTCCCAACAGACCCCTGGCTGTCTTCAAGAGGAGCTGGACAGGCACCTAAAGTCATTACCTGACCAGCTGGGGTGTGGTTCGTACGTTAAGTTTGTGTGCAGCCAGCAGTAAGAGCCTGGATAATCAGGCCCTGATCCACTGAGACCTGGTCATGGACTGTGGTGGAGGGGAAGGGAACCCTTGGAACACCCTCCAGGTATACACAGATCTTATTAAATGGGATCAATCTTACTTGAAAAGAAGTCTTATAGCAATTATAGTGTACTGACTACCCACACTAGTATCACCCAGGAACCAGCTATCAATCAACTGTCTAGTGTCTGGAATGACACAGCTTTACTGAATGATGGTAATGATTCCCACATATATTAACTCCACTCCTTAGTAATGAGCTGGAAGCTTGTGAATCAGGAAAAAAATATAGTGCTGTATGTTGCAATGTTGACTGTGTGTAGAATGAGTCTTCTTGAATTATAATATACAAGATACACAAAAACTAGCCTGGAGAACAACATGAATTTGAATAGTAGTGAAAACCTTTGATTTTCACTAACGATGCTCTCTCATAGCTCATTATCAGACTTTACTTCCACAAGAATAATGCAAGAGAAGCATCAGAACAAGACTGAGCCAACTGCAAAATAAAAAAATCTAAAAAACTAAAAAAAATAATCATAGCTTAAACACCAGTGATGTCACAATTAGTACAAGGTACAGTAATAGTATACGAGTTAAATGCTCAACATGTTATTTTTTTACAAAAAATTTGTACTTGACATTTATTTCAATTAATCGTTATCTTCATCGTAAAGACAATTTTCACACGCTACATGGCCGTATATATAATATTGGCTTTTACAAGTAAACACTTGAAGAACTATGAAAAAGCACAGTAATATTCAATCCTGCAGAGAACATTAACATTACTTCCGTGTTAGGCAGCTCCAACTTCATGCTAACAGATGGTACTATGAAAACAACCTGGTCAGTTACATGTACATTACCTAGCAGATACATTTGTGACCCAGTTGTGATAAGAGTTGGCTAGTCTCTCTCTATACATTTCTGAAATAGCATAACACAAATTTTGGTAAAATTTGGACCTTTACTACAATTTTCAATTAAAAACAGGAAAAGAAATTAGTAATATACTGTACTGTAACTGTTTGTAAAAATAAGACAGACATTTCTTTGAAAAAAATACTAGTGTACTATAACTAAAAATTTTAAAATCTGTTTATCTACAAAAAATGAAGGTATGGCAGTGAACAAAATCAAAGGTATACAAGGATGAATATACACTTTCTCTTGTAACCTATACATATATCCATTATTAATGGGTTCTATTTCCAGGACCCAATGAGGAAATAATTGAAAGGTTCTTCCTCTCCCTACCTCCCCAGCCTCAAAGAGCCATAATTAAGAGGGTCTTCTCCTGACCTCAAAGAGAGCCATAGTTAACAGGCTCTTCTGGCCTCAGAGAGACCCACAGTAGGTTCTCTTCCTGGTCTCAAAGGGAGCCATAGTTAAGAGGTTCTTCTGGCCTGAGAGAGCCATAGTTAAGAGGTTCTTCTGGCCTGAGAGAGCCATAGTTAAGAGGTTCTTCTGGCCTGAGAGAGCCATAGTTAAGAGGTTCTTCTGGCCTGAGAGAGCCATAGTTAAGAGGTTCTTCTGGCCTGAGAGAGCCATAGTTAAGAGGTTCTTCTGGCCTGAGAGAGCCATGGTTAACAGGCGAGTTAATACATTCTTCCCCAGCAGCCTTGAACAGAACAATGGTTAACAGGTACAGTAATCTAGGCTTTTTAAGTGTGGTCTTCATAAACAAGAGGTTACATGATAAAGGCAGAACCAAACATTTTAATCTGTTAGCAATCTTTTCATGCTTATAAGTTTAAAAGATCCACCAGTAATACTTTAAACATTACTTAAATTTTGCACATTGATTTGATTATCAATAAAGTGGAAAAGATGCAGTTAACTTTCTATACAAACTAGAAAAAATGTCTAATCTAAAATAAATGAGAAGAAAATAAAAAAAAAATGGGTTTCTTTTGCAATAATAGGATGATGGCTAGGAGGGTTATATAAATCTGTGGTGGAGGGAAGGAGGGGTAAGGGTCATCTTAGGAAGGGTTGGAGGGAGGGAAGATTTTTGAATACTAAGGGCATGGATATCTAACAGGCTTGTGCAAGCATGTTAGACAGGAGCAGAGACAAGTGGCTTTTACAATGTTGGAGTGTGTACGAGGTAACATTTATGAAGGGATTCAGGGAAACTTAACTCCTGCACTCTAGAGGAGGAGTAAGGATGTTGCAGTTTGGATGGGTATTTGAACTGTAATATCAGCATGCTTCTGGCAAGACTGATTGAGAGTGACACTGAAAGTATTTTCTTATTTGTTAGGTCACCCTACCTTGGTGGGAGACAGCTGGTTAAAAACAAAAAACTAACTGGCAAGAGGTTTACTTAAAAATTAAATTAAATACATATAATTAAAGAAATATTACTGCATCTCATTCTCACTTCACTGGACTATTTTCCTTTACCTAAACTAGTCTTCACTCTCCTTACAGTTATATTTTGGTGTTACTTCCTATGCTAGGGAATGTAAATGTGTTACCTGAAACCACATAAAACACAGCTCCCTATCTCAACAGTTTGGTGATCTACTTAAGTGCCACAGTTCAATGTCTAATACAAAATAAATGATCAACAACTACTAGTCCTTTTCTTTTTGAAGTGTGTATAGTATGCAGCAAGAAAATGCACACAAGTACAGCATGCAAGAAAAATGTGACAGCAATTATTTGTAAGCTCAAGATGTCCTAAAAAAATTCACACTAAATCTTTGTCCCTCAACTCTTTTATCACTAATAAATATGATAAAAGGGGTACCATCAAATGTCTGAATAATTATAACCAATTTTCAAAGACTCAAAAAGTGCTTAAAGAAAATTAAACACCACACAAAGTTTCAAATCCAATTAATAGAGCAGATAATTATTTAGTGTTTCCTACAATATTAATTTAATGATTCCTAGGCTATCAGCTTGCATTTTTTACTAAATGAATGATGTCTATTACACAGAATATTAATATTTTTGTAAAGTAAGGACTCAAACCATCACCTGAATCTAGTCACTGAGTTAGATCTTTCCATTATGGAAATATTTATCAACCAACTATGGTAACTAGCAAGAGTGGAAACAGGCTTAGACATACAGAATATGGAAGACAAATCTGCAGAATAAACAGAAAACAGTAATGTAGACAACCCAAGTTAAAATTATTTTCTGAATGACAATTAAGCACATAGTTCCACTGATCTCCAGGTACATTATGGTAAGTAAAATTGTTTAACATACCCACTAATAGTTTGTCAAGGATATACCACGCACCAACCACTACTGCTACTCTCAACAAGTGGCAGGGAAAACACAGGGTCAAGAAAACACCCCTGATGTAATCATAAACCACCATCTATTTTTCTCACATACAAAATGCAGTAAATCCTGACATTAAAAATAACACACGTACTCCTTAACCTCAACTAGGGACTAATGCTCCCCAACCTCGTACAGTTCCTCGCACTTTTGTAGCAGTTTGAGAACAGGATTTATATTGTATGGAAAGAGGTTTTTGGATACCAGACGATCAATGGCAAAACGGAGACGTATGAGGACAGTCATGACCTCCTCCAGTCGACGGCCACAGTGAGACGCAAATTCGCGCCAGCTGCGGCGAATAAATTTGAGGTAGCGAAGCAGGTAGAGGAGGAAGGAGGTCTCATTAGACACTAAGAGGTCAAGGAGCACATCATGTTCCAGGTAGATGGTCTCAAGGAACTCAAGAAAAGTGGTGTGAGGGTTGACGCAGGCATGAAGCTCTGGTTGTTGTCTGCAACAACAAAAGATAATAGTTATTCACATACAAAAATTCCACTCTATTCTTAAATCTTATTGAGATGTCCTCTGCATTTTTTCCTAACTCGTACACTTTTTATTTTCTACGTTACAACTACTCTTAAGTGCACAGATTACACTATTTTTTTAAAGCAATATAATGTATCCTGATTTCATTACAAAACTCTACACTATTATGACTGAAAAGTTTTATAACTTAACTAAGATTAAAAGAGAACTAATCACTTGGCTAGTTATACTGACTGCTGCAAGCATTACACTGCCATCACATTGTTTTTCCACATGGTTTTTGCTGAGCATTATAAAGAGCGTTTGTAAGAGCATTTCAGTGTTTTTATATAATTTGGTATTATTATTAATTTTTTAACACTGGCTGTCCCCCACCGAGGTAGGGTAACCCGAAAAAGAAACACTGTTCATAATTATTATTAAATTCATGGGGGAGCCCTCATGGGAGGCAACTTAGTTTGATCTAAGAAAGGGGAGGGTACACAGGGTATACAGTAATATTACCTGATCCGTATGCCTAGACCAGTGAAGATATCGAGGCCACACACCATAGATTCAACCAGCCAGTCATCTTGATCGGCAAAGAGCCGCACCATCCACTCTGCCATAGGAGCCTCAGGGTGATATGGCAATTTAGATTTCACAAAATCATCTACTTTGCGAACAACTTCTCTTAAGCTACGTTCAATTATGGCCATATCCACATCCTCCGATCCAGAGCCACCAGACCGCGAGGAATTCTCAGAGGAAGAATCACACCGAGTCTCCTTCACAGTAACTGCTATAGCTTTCAATACAACCAACACCACCTTATGTAGTATTGTTCGGTCACCTTGGTCCATGCCACTTGCTGTTCCCGAGCTGGGTCCAGCACTGCTATCCAGTGTGGGGCTCTGATTTGACTGAGATCTATTTCCCGCTGACCCTCCACAAGGCACACACTCCAGGAATCTACGATCCTTGACAGCACGGATCAGGAGGTGGGCCAAGTTACAGGGCTCCTCTGCTAATACGTCCTGGAGGGCCAGCGTACTCCCATAACACAAGACCTCATTATAAAGATCAAGCACTTTACGCCACACCACAGTATGGGTGTGTCGCGTTAACGGAGTCATAAGACGTTCTAATCCTGAGTAAAATTCTTTTGTATCGGTCACTGACAAATTTGCTTTCACTGATATCAGAGACTCCCACAATGTTAAAAATGATACAATAACATGTTCTCTTTCCATGGTAAACTCATTCACTAACTGTGTTAATCTTGCCACCAAGAGGAACCACTTGCAGTCAAGCTTCTTGGTGGCAACATATTTAACTTCATTTGCTCCTTGAGTGTCTGCAGGAGTCAAAGTAATTTTCGCACATTCTAAGGGTTGACCAGAGTCTGATTCAGTTCCTTCTAAAGGGTGCTCATCTAGGTCCTTCCACTCTATAACCCTTCTAACCACTTCAATTGAATGACCAACTTCTATAAGGTTTACTGAAACAGCCAGGTTTTCCACAAGCTTTTCTAGCACCAGTTCACTTGCTCGGCCACGTAACATAAGTAGCAATGAAGACAATGCACGCGAGGCAGAATAACTGACATACTTATCTTCTGAGGCCACAAAGCCAAACAGTATATCTAACACTGCACCTTCATTATCTGCCCCTGCTGCTACTACCTCACTTATGCGAGAACACAACACGCCTCGACTCTGTTGTCGTAGGGAGACTTCAAAGAACAAAGTAAGCATGCTGATGTAGAGAAGTGTCTCATCTCGCAGCCGCAGCATGTGGGCCACCGGATGAACAGAGAAACAGTCGTTGCAAACGGATAACGTATGGAGGATGTCGGGCAGCTGCAGGGAACACAGACACTTACGGATCAACTGAGCGTGGATGATCTCCAGGTCCCTCCTCGGTAGCAGCTGCCCCCCACTGTCATCCCCAGAGGGGGGCAACTTTACCCTTTTCTGTTGAGGTTCTACCATTTTCACATGGTTCAAGATGATCACTTCACACTAGCATGATTTCTGTATCGATCCTGATTTCTGGGAAGCACAAGCACCAGCAGCTGCAGCACATGGGCAACCTCCATAGCAGCAGCTTAGAGAGCCCACACACCAGGACAGAACAGCGCCTGGCTTTATGTTGTCTGACACTGTGCTCAATGGATGTGGCATTGGAGGGGTCCAAGGTCATAATCCCTCACTAGTTAACATGACCATATCCATTATCACCTTCTTCCCCATGGTTTCCACTTATCTTGAGGCTGCACCAAACATAGTTCTGAAAGAGTGAGCTTAATTAGTATATAATGTATACAACTGCTTCAAATGAAAACAATGCTGTACAAAATTTTGAATAATATCATATACAGAACTATTTAAGAATTAACATTGGACGACATATAAAGTGAAAAAATTAAAATATTTTTTCGGACAATCATTCACTTACAACAGCAAGTGCAATGAGACGGACACAAAATTCACAAGGAAATATAAAAATGTCATTTAAAGATCACCAAATTTCATGACTGAAACAAATGAAAAGCACAGTTAATGTAGAAGCTTCGACACATATCACTGCAGAAGCCTTGACACATCACTGTAGAAGCCTCGACACACATTACTGCAGAAGCCTTGACAAATCACTGTAGAAGTCTCGACACACATCACTGTAGAAGCCTCGACACACATTACTGCAGAAGCCTTGACAAATCACTGTAGAAGTCTCGACACACATCACTGTAGAAGCCTCGACACACATTACCGCAGAAGCCTTGACATACATCACTGTAGAAGCCTTGGCACACATCACTGTAGAAGTCTCAACACACATCATTGTAGAAGCTTCAACACACATCATTGTAGAAGCCTCAACACACATCATTGTAGAAGCTTCAACACACATCATTGTAGAAGCCTCAACACACATCATTGTAGAAGCCTCAACACACATCATTGTAGAAGCCTCAACACACATCATTGTAGAAGCCTCAACACACATCACTGTAGAAACCTCAACACACATCATTGTAGAAGCCTCAACACACATCATTGTAGAAGCCTCAACACACATCATTGCAGAAGCCTCAACACACATCATTGTAGAAACCTCAACACACATCATTGTAGAAGCCTCAACACACATCATTGTAGAAACCTCAACACACATCACTGTAGAAGCCTCAACACACATCATTGTAGAAGCCTCAACACACATCACTGTAGAAGCCTCAACACACATCACTGTAGAAGCCTCAACACACATCACTGTAGAAGCCTCAACACACATCACTGTAGAAGCTTCAACACACATCATTGTAGAAGCCTCAACACACATCATTGTAGAAGCCTCAACACACATCATTGTAGAAGCCTCAACACACATCATTGTAGAAGCCTCAACACACATCATTGTAGAAGCCTCAACACACATCACTGTAGAAGCTTCAACACACATCATTGTAGAAGCTTCAACACACATCATTGTAGAAACCTCAACACACATCATTGTAGAAGCCTCAACACACATTGTAGAAGCCTCAACACACATCATTGTAGAAGCTTCACCACATCATTGTAGAAGCCTCAACACACATCATTGTAGAAGCCTCAACACACATTGTAGAAGCCTCAACACACATCATTGTAGAAGCTTCACCACATCATTGTAGAAGCCTCAACACACATCATTGTAGAAGCTTCAACACACATCATTGTAGAAACCTCAACACACATCACTGTAGAAGCTTCAACACACATCATTGTAGAAGCCTCAACACACATCATTGTAGAAACCTCAACACACATCACTGTAGAAGCCTCAACACACATCATTGTAGAAGCCTCAACACACATCATTGTAGAAACCTCAACACACATCACTGTAGAAGCCTCAACACACATCATTGTAGAAACCTCAACACACATCACTGTAGAAGCCTCAACACACATCATTGTAGAAGCCTCAACACACATCATTGTAGAAACCTCAACACACATCATTGTAGAAACCTCAACACACATCACTGTAGAAGCCTCAACACACATCATTGTAGAAGCTTCAACACATCATTGTAGAAGCCTCAACACACAAGTGTCAGTTTTCATTGTATGTAGAAGCCTCTACATACAATGATAAACAAGACATTCGGTGCAACACTTGAATATCGTCACTGACGAAACATTTCGCCCACATGAGAGATCATCTTCAAGTGCAAGAGAAGAAAATAAGAGAAAAGAGAGACCAGAACTGACGTGATCATCACCTCAACTTGTGTTCTGACACTCTACACTGTTATAGTTACACTCACACAGGCACAGCACCTACATACATGAACCCTGAACCTCTACAACATGTTGCAGCAGAGGCTGTGCAACACACACTCACCACGAGCAATAATATTCAGATGATGTTTGGCAGAGTGTGAGGGATGCTGCTGATACTCTCCTCACCCCTCACACTATTCTCCCACTTCTCACCGCTCTGGTAGCTTATTTCCCGGGTGTGTGGGCGTGGGTGTGGGCGTGGGTGGTGGGTGTGTGGTGTGGGTGGTGCAGGGTGGGTGTGGAGCCACACCAGGCGTCAAAATTCACTAATATAATAAGATAATGTTGTCCTAGACGGCCTCTCCTCCTCCACCTTCACTCAACTCAACAACTAAAGTCTCAGCTTTTGTTATGGATGGATTTTTTATTTAGTTTTGCGGACTTGTGAGGAAATTAATTGTCTTGGTGGGAATTATTGTTGATATGTTGTGTTAAATGCTGGTTAAAATTACGAGGGCGTGTGAAATATAGGTCTGACTATGTGCAGTTGCTTGAGGGTATCCACTGTGTCTCAAGGCGTTCATTGAAATAAAGTGAAAACGAAATTTTGTTTTATTTTAATGCATAAAAATGCACTGTTAATATACTATATAGTTATTCAAAGGTCAATGTTTGTGGGTTAATAGTTTGTAGCTTGAACGTAGCTGAGATAAAGTTGTCAATGGTAATTAATGGATGAAGTTGAGTGTTGGATGCAGGGGTTGAGAAGAAGGTTGTAGCTGAGTATGGGCACCAGGCTGAGGTGGGCAGCATACCCATTGTCATACCTCTACATGCCCTCCACCCTCCACATACACTCACTTATACACACTTTATACACACTTCCGCTGAAAAATCCTCCAAGGGAGGAATTAACAAGCATAATATGGCAGCGAGGGAGGGCATGATTGATGAAGATGAGAATAACCTGCCAGGGGCATGGGCATGCATCAACATACCCTTGTCCACTCACACCTCCAATTTATTCTCATTTTTACATTTAACTCCCTGGAAACAATATTTTAACTATGGTACATGCCACAAATGACCACTGTATCAGTGCCCACCGGTACCCTCGCTTCTATACCTCCAACCTTACTCCACTACCCATATGGGTTTCGAGCTTGTTTTAATATAATAATAATCTACTATTGTCTATTATAAGCAACATTTTGCATAGTTATGGAGAGAGATAGGCAGAAGTGAGGTGGGTCAGGACTCGACCCTCGTACCTAAGTATACCTGGAGAGTTCCGGGGGTCAACGCCCCAGCGGCCCGGTCTGTGACCAGGCCTCATGGTGGATCAGAGTCTGATCAACCAGGCTGTTACTGCTGGCTGCACGTAGCCCAACGTACGAACCACAGCCTGGCTGATCAGGTACTAACTTTAGGTGCCTGTCCAGTGCCTGCTTGAACACAGCCAGGATTTATTTCCACGAGAGTCATTGACAACTTTCTCACAATCATCAACTTGGCTTGTTATCACTTTAGAGTCTATAATACTTTAAATGTGACTTATGGGGAGGACCCATTATAAAAAAAAAACAATAAATCTACAATGAATCACATTTTTTTTGTGTTGAGAGTAAAGTAATTAGTTGTAAGTTATAACAACTTATATGTATAAACCTAACACTTCTAACTTGTTATCAGATGAAAGTTTATTTAGGTACAATTGCACATCAGTAGATTTAAACAAGTTTAAGGTGACTGATGGATTGAATACGTCGACTCCAGGCTGAGAGACTGATTACCCCAAACTCCTCCTCATCTTCCACCGTTCTTCTCTGTGTTGGACTGAAGAAGCCACTGACTGGCAGAACTTTTCCTTAATAAAGTTACTGCACAAGTGTCTCATTCTTCAAAGTATAAATTACCCACCAGGAACCCTCCCCTCCAAAAGTCTTTCAGGTGAACTCCAGGTTCATGTCCAGAAACTGACAATGTCACGTGAGAACATTATTACCACTGGGGCATTCCATTCCCCAGTGGTAATAATGTGGCATTAAATTTTCCATTGATTATGGTGGGTCATATCACCCCAAAGTGATTTCGGTATCCTCTACATAATACAGGAGTATGCAGCACCAGTATGGAAACCCACATATGGTCAAACATGTCAAGAAGGTTTGCAAAGGTTTGCAACAAGACTAGTCTCGGAGCTAAGGGGCATGTCCTACTAGGAAAGGTTAAAGGAACTCAACCTGACAACACTGGAGGACAGGAGGGACAGTACAACACTGGAGGACAGGAGGGACATTATAACACTGGAGGACAGGGGGGACATTATAACACTGGAGGACAGGAGGGATATGATAACACTGGAGGACAGGAGGGACATTATAACACTGGAGGACAGGAGGGACATTATAACACTGGAGGACAGGAGGGATAGGAGGGATATGATAACACTGGAGGACAGGAGGGACATTATAACACTGGAGGACAGGAGGGATAGGAGGGACATGATAACACTGGAGGACAGGGGGGATAGGAGGGACATGATAACACTGGAGGACAGAAGGGATAGGAGGGACATGATAACACTGGAGGACAGAAGGGATAGGAGGGACATGATAACACTGGAGGACAGAAGGGATAGGAGGGACATGATAACACTGGAGGACAGAAGGGATAGGAGGGACATGATAACACTGGAGGACAGAAGGGATAGGAGGGACATGATAACACTGGAGGACAGAAGGGATAGGAGGGACATGATAACACTGGAGGACAGAAGGGATAGGAGGGACATGATAACGCTGGAGGACAAGGGGGATAGGAGGGACATGATAACACTGGAGGACAGAAGGGACAAGAGGGACATGGTAACACTGGAGGACAGAAGGGACAAGAGGGACATGGTAACACTGGAGGACAAGGGGGATAGGAGGGACATGATAACACTGGAGGACAGAAGGGATAGGAGGGACATGATAACACTGAAGGACAGAGGGGATAGGAGGGACATGATAACACTGGAGGACAGGGGGGATAGGAAGGACATGATAAAGACGAATAAATTACTGAGAGAAATTTAAAATGTGGAAAAGGACCAGTGGTGGGCCGACTATGAAATTAATGAAGCTTAGCTCAGGGCCCCTAATCCCGGAGTAAGTAAGTTTATTCAGGTTTACACATATACAGTTACATATATTATCATACATAGCAGCATATGTGTGGAGAACCTAGGATAACCCCCCAAAAAATCTGACAAAGTGACTTATTTCCACTGGAGTCCCAGAAGGGCCCCAGAAGCCACTTTATAATAATAATATCTTTATTTACTACAAGTACATGTACAAGGTATACAGACCACAGTTGACATCAATGATATACTACTATATAGAAAGCCGCTTGTTATGCTGAGCATTTCGGGAAAATTAGGTCAGTTTTGTCCCATGATGCGACCCACACCAGTCCACTAGCACCCAGGTGTCCATTTTACTGATGGGTGGACATAGACAACCGGTATAAAGAAACACGCCCAATGTTTCCACCCTCGCTGGGAATTGGGTCTACTGTATGAGAAAGGGTTGCTTCAGGGCCCCCATAACAGTTCAAGCTTCAGGGCCCCCATAACAGTTCAAGCTTCAGGGCCCCCATAACAGTTCAAGCTTCAGGGCCCCCATAACAGTTCAAGCTTCAGGGCCCCCATAACAGTTCAAGCTTCAGGGCCCCCATAACAGTTCAAGCTTCAGGGCCCCAGAAATGTAGGTCTGCCACTGACAGTGACAAGATGTTTCAGAGATGGGACACAGCATGATAAAGCTCACGGAGCATGAAGAGAGTAGACCCAGTAGCAACCAGCGAACAGGTGGGGCCAGGAGCTGTGAATCGACCCCTGCAACCACAAATAGCTGAGAACACATTACTGCCATCTAGCGAGCGAAATCGGAGTCAAAAAGAAATAATTCAACCCAGCTGCCAGAAACCACCACAAATTTATTACCTTTTTGCAAGTTTCTAATAATATATCATTATTGTTGTAGTGGTAAACAAGGTGGTGGAGGCTGCTGTTGCTGCTGGCATTATCTTCAACCATGAGCTTATAATAACCTCTGTCTCCTGGCTCACCAACTCTCTTATTGGACCTTATAACCGCCTCCTTTAATACCTGTAATGTAAGACTCTGCTAAATTGTATCAGAGGGGAATTTTGTCTGTTTTTTTTTTTTTTGAGTGGTGACTCAGGCCGAGTAAGTTTATTCAGGTATACACAAATACATAGATTATCATACATAGCAGCATATGTAAGTAAGTACGTCAGTCAGTACATAAGTACGTCAGTGAGTACATCAGTCAGTTCGTAGGTGCATCAGTAGGTAAACCAGTCAGTAGGTGAGCACATAAGTATGTCAGTATATAAGTACGTCAGTAAGTACATAAGTAAGTCTGTCAATATGTCAGTATGTTAGTACGTCAGTATGAATGTCAGTATGAATGTCAGTATGTATGTCAGTATGAATGTCAGTATGTATGTCAGTATGTATGTCAGTATGTATGTCAGTATGTATGTCAGTATGTACATCACTATGTACATCACTATGTACATCACTATGTCAGTACCTTGGTACGTCAGTACATATGCCAGTAACTACGTCAGTATGTACGCCAGTAAGTACGTTGGTAAGTACATCGGTAAGTACATCAGTAAGTACGTCGGTACGTACATCAGTAAGTACGTCGGTGCGTACATCAGTAAGTACGTCGGTACGTACATCAGTAAGTACGTCGGTGCGTACATCAGTAAGTACGTCGGTGCGTACATCAGTAAGTACGTCGGTGCGTACATCAGTAAGTACGTTGGTGCGTACATCAGTAAGTACGTCGGTGCGTACATCAGTAAGTACGTCGGTGCGTACATCAGTAAGTACGTCGGTGCGTACATCAGTAAGTACGTCGGTGCATACATCAGTAAGTACGTCGGTGCGTACATCAGTAAGTACGTCGGTGCGTACATCAGTAAGTACGTCGGTGCGTACATCAGTAAGTACGTCGGTGCGTACATCAGTAAGTACGTCGGTGCGTACATCAGTAAGTACGTCGGTGCGTACATTAGTAAGTATGTCGGTGCGTACATTAGTAAGTACGTCAGTAAGTGGTAAGACACACAGGCAACAGTTAAGCAACTTTATTCTCGGAATAAAGTTGCTTAACTGTTGCCTATGTGTCTTACCTACCAACCTGTCGGTATTGTACACCATTTTGATATTCACTTCAGTAAGTACGTTGGTAAGTATATCTACATCCATAAGTGATCTTACATAGAGATACTACACGTAAGTGTGATAGTACATAGTACGTACCTTCCTCATCTTTCTATTATTTTTTTTTGGTATCCCCCAGGACTATTGCAGCTTATGTTGCTATAGCCTGGAAATAATGCAGGTGTCTTCGTGTAAAATTCTGTTCAGTGACACTAAGGTATGAGTGGAGTTTTGAACCCACGGAGAGGAGTCCATTCAATAAATTTCTAATGATTATTTTTAATATAGTGATATAATGCACTTAGGCTCCTCTCCCAAGTGTGTGTTTTTGGTGAATAAAGACATCTTTTGCTCTCAGTTAAAGAAAAATTACCATGAATCAGTATTTATCACTAATAATTATTTGAATGAATTACAGTATACATATCTGTCAATTTGTTTTAAAATTAACAATTGTATTTCGGCCATCAGGACATGCAACTGAGTCGGTCTGCAGTGTACACCATGTTGCAGACATACGCAGAGAAGGATCGCATCATCACTGTCCTCCCGCCACCCTTTATCAGACAGGTATTAATAATAATAATAATAATAATAATACTGTAATAATATTTTTACAAGTGCATAATACAACTTGTGTACAGTCATCTTGATGTGATGTTACTCTGCTGCTTTAAGTCATTGGAGTGTGAAGGGTCAAGTTTGGAGTGAAAGCGAGGGCTGACTTACCATCCCTATGTGTACTGGAGGTGGGATGGATAGATAAATGGAAAAGTGAATGCATCATATAATGGATGAGGTAAAAGAAAAGATGTGCAATTGGGTAGATAGACTGGTTGATCCCATTGATCGTTTCTCTCATACGTCTTCCCAACCTGATCCACAGTACATAATCTAAGGAATAACAGGTGCAGTCTTTCAGTCTTTCTTCATATAGCTTTTTCTTAGTTCTCTTTAATATTCTGAGCTTTGTTGCACTTCTCTGCATTTTCTCTAGTTTATCTTTATCTTGTTATTTGAGCACCAAAACTGACCATCATATTCAAGGTGAGTTATGACAAGCACATCATAATGTGTCACTATATTTCTGTTGTATGCTGATCTTCTAGCTATGAAACCTAGCTTTGTCTTGTTGCTCAGAGCTAGACTTGAAGTTTACTAATGACCACCTCAGCAGATGGTTAAAATAATACTGTATATGTATTTTGTCCTTTGAAACCTGAGGAAGTACAGTATTATCCTTTGAACTTGTTAAGTACATGTATGTACAGTATGTGTATATTTTAGTAGTGGATATACAGATAGGATAATTGTGTGAGAAACTGTAACAGCTACATTAGTACTTGTGACCTGATATTCATTTTTTATGTGAAATTGTTTTAACTATGTACATATTACAGGCTTCCCCACACATAAACGACGACTTTGATGAAGCTGTGAAAAACGCTGCAAATGGCAATCGCACTTTACAGGCTGGGCTCAAAATATCCAAAATGATTGTCCTTGGAGACATGGCAACAGGAAAGACTTGCTTGGTAAATAGGTAAGAAGTTTCTCATATTGGCTCTCCTGCATCAATATGTGTGTGTGTATTTATAAATCACTGTAATATCAGCCCTGTAATGTGATGTTCCTAAAGGTCTTCTTGAACCCAGAAAGGGTGAATACTGTGTAGTTAAGTCTCTAGATTTTAGGGGGATAGTTTTGTAAATGTTCTGTGGATTTAGAATTGGCAAGTACTGCAAAATTATGTTTTCATAATAAATTTTGTCAGATTTGGATTTGTTTTGTATTTGAGCCCATATCTCTAATAATTTTTTTTTTAATTTGGTTAATATTTATTTTCTACAAAATTTTATGGTTTTTCATTTTAGGGGTTGTGAGCTAAACTAAGCTGAGCACCACATATATATTTTTTTTTTATTTGGATATGATACATAGTTGCACAAAGAAATATAGTGATTGGGTGTACATGCCAAAAGCCCCTTGTATGCAGAGCATTATGGACAGGCTTAAAATTAACTTAACAATGATGTATTTGGTGGTAAAAATTACAGTAAACAAATTACAACATGAAGTACAAATGAGTATTTCAAATAAGAAGTATTAAGGTTGTACAAATTTGTAGTATAACAATGTATAATATAATTCTTTCAAATCGAGTAAAATCAATGATTTGTTGTGCAGAAACAGGTCATATGGTCATTAGATGAGTTACTGTGCATTCAAGAGAATGGAGTATTCTATTAGGTAATGTAATTAAAAAAAACATAGTTTGATAGGGTCACAGGTTATACATTTATGAGATACATTTATTCAGTATTTATTTAGTTGTGGGCGAGTAAGTGGTTTTTAAGAAGAGTCTTGAATTGATAAGCAGACAGTATTTCTTTTGTATTCACAGGTAATGAATTCCAGATTTTTGGGCCTTTTATGTGCATTGAGTTTTTACATAGTGTGAGATGGACACAGAGTACATCAAAGAGTGATCCTTGCCTTGTGTTATGGTAATGTGTTCTGTTGAGGTTGGTAAGGAGAAGTATGAGGGGAGGGTTTATTATATCCGAGTTTAGTGTTCTATGTATGTAGTAGGCACAATAATAAGTATGGATGTTTTGTACGGTGAGTAAGTTTAGAGTTTTGAATGTTGGTGGAGTATGCTGCCTGGAGTGGGAATTTGTTATCATTCTGACTGCAGCCTTTTGTTGGGTAATTAATGGTCTGAGATGATTTATTGTTTTTGAGCCCCATGCACAAATTTCATAGGTGAGATAGGGGTAAATGAGTGAGTGATATAGGACCAGGAGGGCTGACTGTGGAACATAGTACCGTATTTTCGATAGTATGCCTACGGTCTTGGAGATTTTCTTGGAAATTTGTTGTACATGTGTTTGAAATTTGAGTCTATTATTACGGTGGATTCCTAAGAATTTTCCTTCTGTGAGCTTTGTGATAGGTGATCCGTCTATCATTATGTTAAGAGTAACATCTGTAGTTCTGTTCCCAAACTAAATGAAGTAGGTTTTGTCAATATTGAGAGTAAGTTTGTTAATCATCATCCAGCTAGATATTTTCTGTAATTCGGTATTTACAGTATTGGCTAGTATAACTGGGCTTGGGTGAGAGAAGACGTATGTAGTGTCATCTGCAAATAGTGTGGGTTTGATTAGTTGCGATGCATTTGGTAGGTCGTTTATGTAAATGAGAAAGAGAAGAGGGCCAAGGACACTTCCCTGTGGGACACCAACTGTAATTGGCTGTGTGGAAGAGTTTGCTGCATTTGTGTACACATATTGGCTTCTGTTGCAAAGGTATGACTTTAGGTAGTTGAGGGAGTGCCCTCTTATACCATAGTGTGTTAATTTTATGTGCAGCAAATCATGGTCAACTGTATCAAAAGCTTTACATAAAATTATTTGTGGAAGATCCCCCCCAAAAAGGTTGAAATTATTGAAATCTACCAATGTGGAAGGTGGACTGCAATATACATTTATAATTGTTTCTGATCTTTAACTTGCAATCTAAAGTGTTTATGTATGCCATAGGGAGTTGCATGGATCAAACTCAGTCATTTTAGGAGAATAGCTCATATAGTTATTGGTATGCTTGTCACTCTGATGGTACTGAACACTGTGTTCACCCATTTATGACCAAATTATCTTTTTACACACTTTGAACTCTTTATTTGATCTTTTTAACTTTTATGAGAAATTGTGTTTTAAGATTTTATGTAACAACAAGGCATATGTTCTTATTACTTTATTAAACCCTTTCAGTGTTTCCTGCATAGATCTGTGCTATTGATGCTCTCTGTAAATCTACATTTTTAGCACTGTGCTTTCAAATATGCTATAAGTGGTAGATTTTGACCTAGACAAGAGAGAATGTTTTAGTGTAGTGGGTGTGCACAGTATATAAAAAAAAAAGTTCTGCCCCATGTAGTGAATGATGGGAAAGGCAAACCTCTGACCTGGTGTTTGGTTTAAAATAGCATCTTTGAGGTGTTTTATAGGGTAGCATTTATGGTTATATTGACTGTTTCTTGGTATCAAGTGTGTATCCTTTATTATGAGCAGGTTGTTAGACAGCAACCATCCAGTGTTTCAATACCAGTCTTACGATACAAGTGTGAAATGGAAAGTTGTTAACCAGTTTACACTCTGGCACAGATGCATGTTTTTTTTTTTTTCATGAACACAAGATGGTAAATTAACCTTGCAAACTTCTACTTGCATTCAGTATAACCTTAGCTTTATTTTCCTGGGTACTTATTAATAGTTATTTCTTTAATATTTACTTTCCTATTTAGGATGTCTGGCCATGTGGATACTGATCCCCAGGACCATTAATGAGTATGGTATTATGTATATGACATGAATTTCAGGTTGTGTCATCAGGTGTTTGATGCTAACTACAAAGCGACGATCGGAGTAGACTTCGAAGTAGAGAGATTTGATATTCTTGGTATTCCCTATAATCTTCAAATGTAAGTTAATTATTTGTGCTTATTCATTACCATTTAGTGATAAGTGCTTTTCAGTTTTTCAGCACTGACAGTTTGAAGTATCATGAAGCTGCTGTAGATTGACTTGGAGAACAATTGGAATACAGCCTCTCCTCACTTAACGACGTACTACTCATTTACAGACGACTCGGACTTACAATGGGCTCTCTGACCAGTATGCATACCTAAAAATGTATATTAGAGCTGATTTATTTTATTCTGCTCATTACAATACAGTGGACCCCCGCATAGCGAACTTAATCCGTGCAAGAGGGCTGGTCGTTATGCGAAATGTTCGCTATGCGAATTAATTTTCCCCATAAGAAATAATGGAAATAAAATTAATCCGTGCAAGACACCCAAAAGTATGAAAAAAAAATTTTTTTACCACAAAAAAATGTTAATTTTAGTACACACAAACTGAAAAAGGCATGCACAATTACATGACACTTACTTTTATTGAAGATCTGGTGATGATTGATGGGATGGGAGGAGGGGAGAGAGAGTGTTAGTGTTTAGAAGGGGAATCCCCTTCCATTAGGACTTGAGGTAGCAAGTCCTTTTCCGGGGTTACTTCCCTTCTTCTTTTAATGCCACTAGGACCAGCTTGAGAGTCACTGGACCTCTGTCGCACAACAAATCTGTCCATAGAGCTCTGTACCTCCCGTTCCTTTACGATTTGTCTAAAATGGGCCACAACATTGTCATTGAAATAGTCACCAGCACGGCTTGCAACAGCTGTGTCAGGGTGATTTTCATCCATAAAGGTTTGCAGTTCAACCCACTGTGCACACATTTCCTTAATTTTTGAAGTAGGCACAATGGATTCCACAACTGGCATAGGCTTCTCAGGGTTAGCCCCAAACCCTTCAAAATCTTTCTTAATTTCCATACTAATTCTCACCCTTTTTACCACAGGGTTGGCACTAGAAGCTTTCTTGGGGCCCATGGTCACTTATTTTCCAGAAACAGCACCGAAAACACTGTAATAATACGAAATATTCCGAGTGTATGCTTGAATGTTACCGCGGAGGCTGGCTGGTAAACAATGGGACGGGCGGCACATGTGAGGCTGGCTGAGGCCGCACATTGGACGCGTCTCGGACGAAGGTCGCTGAGCGGGTTTTTGTCCACTATGCGGGGCAAAATTTTAGCGAACAAAGCGTTCGCTATGCGGATTGTTCGCTATGCAAGGCGTTCGCTATGCGGGGGTCCACTGTATACAGTACACTGCTGTATAAACATTTAAAAATATACCAGAAATGTTAAAAATGGTGCAAAGATGACGTTAAAACAATATCAAAGATGCTTGACATAGACCCACTGTAGTGTGCTCCTCACTTAGCGACGAATTCATTTACTGACATGATCTTAGGAATAGAACTCCATCATTAAGTGAGGAGAGGCTGTACTGTACTCGAGCAAGTGGTAAAATTGTAGAGAAAGGGACTTCATTGTAGCAATTGAAGACTGAATATTGAAAGCAACAGCCATATTATAAGTATTTTATAAATATTGAACAAGAACAGTAAACTGGTGGTGTCAGTGTGAGGCTCAGGGTAGTTCAAAAATGAAGATTCTTCACTAATGTTTTGTAGGAATTCACCTTGTTTAGAGTAACTTCAGATTGTTGTAAGATAGTTTATACTGTAGTTCTTCATTATCAGGGATATACTTAAATGCATACATACCCTACATCTAGATGTTTTTTATTTATTTAATAGCTGGGACACAGCTGGCCAGGAACGGTTCAAATGTATCGCAGCTTCATATTACCGTGGTGCAAACGGTAAGCTGTCTTGGTGCCTCTTGTAACACTAAAATTTGAACACTTTTGTGTACACGTTGGGAACACTGCATGCATCATCTTGTACTGACACTTGTGTGTGCATGTTGAGAATACTGCATATATCACCTTGTTCTAACATTGCTGTGTGCATGTTGGTAACACTGCATGCATCACCTAGTTCTAACATTGGTGTGTGCATGTTGGGAACACAGCATGCATCACCTTATACCGAGACTTGTATGCATGTGTATATCACCTTATACTAAAACACTGCGTGCATCACCTCATACTAAAACACTGCATACATCACCTTGTATTAATACCTTCATTCACATTTGGAACACTGCATTCATTATCTTGATACTAATAGTACAACATTCATCATTTTATATAGTGTTGTTATACCTCTGTATCTAAAGGTTACACAGCAATCAATGCTACCAGGCTTAGCCAGGAAGATGTTGTATGTGGTTTGTACACAATTTGTTAACCAATATCAGGCCAGGGCTTGAATTTAGTTAATAATGCAATAAAACTTTTATTTGTTATTTTTCTACAGCAGTGATGATTGTGTTTGATGTGACCAACATAGTAACACTGGCACACACAGCCCAGTGGCTAGAGGAGGCCAAGCAGGCAAACCTGGGCTTGAATCCTCTCGTCTTCCTCGTGGGAACTAAGCGCGACCTCATGGTATTTATACTCGGTCTTCTCGTTGAACCTTTTACAGTCTGCCTTTTAGTAAGTGCTTAAGGGGTTGCTTTAGTGCACTATATTATGGTTTATGGTTCTGTAGATATAGAGAGCATAAGACTAACACTTATGAAAAGGTTCAGGAAAATCAGTTAGCAGGACTTGAGTTCTGGAGGTGGAAAGTACAGTGCCTGCACTTGGAATGACGGATGGGGATGGTGCAGTTAGGAGGACCATTTAAATTGCAGTGTCCATGTACTTGTGTAAAGACAGCTAAAGAATGAATGAAGGTAAATATGTGCTCCTTTGGGTCACCTACCTTGGAGGCAAATGGTCAGCATGTTACAGAAGAAAAAAAATGGAGCATGTATTAAGAATCTTCATCTTGAGTAGTTTTATGGATTTGAATAGTGGTGTTGGGTTTTCTAGAACACAGCAGTGGTTGCTACTGCCATGGTCTGTTGTTGGTTTGTCCATGACAGACCAACAACAACATAGTTTGAGAATATTTTAAGAAACATTATTATTCTGTTGCTTTGTGGGATTCATCTTGAAGTATGACTACTTCTTGTTGAAGGTTGTTCTCTCACTCTCCTGATCTAGTAATGTGTCCTGAGAGGTGCTGCTATCAAGTGAAGAGCAACCCAATTAGCAAGGCACCATGATTTGTTTTGAATATCCAGAGACACGATCTATTTGTTACCTCATTATATTCAAATTCAAATTCGAAGTTTATATGTAGAGCCCAAGATGCAGTATGTTTGTGGTACAGTGGAACCTTGGTTTTCGTGATTAATTCATTCCAGAAAGTCTGATGAAAGCCAAATTGTACAAAAACTGAAGCAATATTTCCCATAAGAAATAATGTAAATACAATTAATCCGTTCCAGACACCCAAAAATATTAACAAAAAATACATTTTATAGAGAATAACTATAGTTTTACATACAGAAAACAATGAGAAATAAATATAAATGACTACTGAAATGGATAAATGAACATTTAACATCACTTTTACCTTTATTGAAGAGACTTGTTGGTGTATGAAAGACGGCGAGGAGGGGAAAGGGAGGAGAGGTTATTGTTTGGAACGGGAATCCCTTTCCATAAGGACTTCAGGTATCAAGGCCCTAAAAAAACCATACCACGGGTGGGATTTGAACCCGCGGTCAGAGAGTCTCAAAATTCCAGACCGTCGCGTTAGCCACTGGACCAGCTAGCCACAATAAGATTCGTCCAACTAGGTATTATTTCTACACCATAGGAAGGTTAGCATAGGCACCACTGTGACCACAATTGCAAGTTTTTACAGACGAATCTCCAGCTAGCGTGGCTGTGACGAACTCTAGCTCAAGTCCCCTCAATGCCGTCAACATGACATGGTTTGTTTGCAATCGTGTCATTATGATTTCGTGAGTCATCAAGGCCCTATCCAGGGTTACTTCCCTTCTTTGTCTTTTACTGGCACTAGGACCAGCTTGAGTCACTTTCATACTTGGCTATGACTTCTTTTTTGAATTCTATCTTGTTTCTCGCCTTCTTTATCAAAGGGCTGGCACTCAGAACTTTCTTTGGCCCTATGGTGGTTTATTTAGCAGTCACCCTCAATAAACAAGCACAAAAAACTATAGATTATTGCGAAATGTTTCGGGTGAACATGTGGGATGATGCTCACTTAACAATAAACAAAGGCAGACTGAGTCAATCGGCGCTTGAGTGGCCGAGTGACATGGGCGGGCAGGCAGACACGTTCGGTATGGACCATTGTCAACTCTATGAAAACCAAGGTGATGTACAAAAACTGGGACAAAATTTTGATGGAAATAGTTGTCAAAAACCAAACCCTACAGAAACTGGGGCATATGAAAACTGAGGTTCCACTATACTTCTTGTAATAGGTCTGGGTAATGTTGTAATAGGAGATTTAGCATCTAGTTGTTGAACAGAATTCATGAAAATTTGTCCAAGAATCTGGATTTCAGACAGATAATAATTTTGTTGTTAAACTTTACTTTAAATTTGGGGTATTGTCTTAGTTATTAATAAACTTTATATTATCAAGAGTTTTTGCTAGTAAACATAATCTCATATTTGTTTAAATCCTATAAAATAAATGAAGGTTAATCTTGCATTTTGTGTTCATACGAGTAGTTTAGAGTGCATATCTCTCTTATTGTAACTTCTAAAACAGCTTGGTACACTTTGCATGAAACTTCTATATTTGCCCTTTTAATCTGAAGGAAAGAATGTAGGATTGCCTTCTGTCTGAAGGTTCAGGAACACCATAAATATGCTGTATTTATTGTTAACATATGCTAACATGGGAGAGACAGGTTTAAGCCATCATGTCAGAGTCAGTTTAGCCTATGCAAGCACTGGCTCATGATTCACCTCCCAGTGAAAACTATGAATTATACCATAATTATGAAAATGTTCAAATTGTTATAACATGTAATATGAATTTTAGCAAGGTTGCTTTGTTTGTTTTCCTTGGAAGAGGCAAGGGAGGGTTCAGATGTGAAGTTGATTCCCATCATTCAAGCAGCTGCACATATACGTGTTAAACATCGACAGAGTGAGGGAGCTTACCAGCAGATAGAGACACAAGCCCGTCGGGTTGCACAAGGTCTGGGAGCTGAGTACTGGGCTGTATCATCTAAGACTGGAGATAATGTGGAAGCTCTGTTTCTGCGTGTGGCAGCACTCGCCTTCAACCAAGCTGTACTTCAAGAAGTTCAAGGTTGTGAAACCCACAAGCATACAGCCACTGTCAGTGAGTATTAAATCTAGTTATTAATAAACCACAAAATGGGCAAGTCACTGGACCAGCTGGCTACAATAAGATTCATCCAACTAGGTATATTTATACACCATAGGGAAGTCAGCATGGCCCCACTGTGACTACTAATGCAAGTTTTTACAGATGAATCTTCCATCAGCTGAGATTCATTTGTAAAAAAATTTATTTATGGTCACAGTGTTGGCCCTTGCTAACCTCCCTATGGTGTATAGAAATATACCTAGTAAGATGAATCTTATTATAACCAGCTGGTCCAGTGGTTAATTTACTGGCCTAGAGTTTTAAGACAAGCTTGCCATGGGTTTAAGCCCCACCAGTAGTGTTGTTATGATTTTGTGAGTTAAAGTTGTTAATTTTATCACAGTGTATATGATATTACCAACTCTTCAAGAGGTACTGAGTTGTCTTGGCTGTTTTAAATGCTGTTTATACAGAATTAAATGTGATTACTAATTTGTAGTTACTGGAGCAGAGCTAGGCTTATGATCTATTTTTGCTGTTTAAATTGTTATACATTATAAAGTTTACAGTGGTTGTAGCATACAGTATTTCCTCCTGGATCCCAGTTCTGGACAGTGGTACCTTGACTTATGAGTTTAATTCATTCCATGACCAAGCTCATAACTCAATTTGCTTGTATATCAAATAAATTTTCCTCATTAAAATGAATTGAAATGCAATTAATCCATTCCAGCCCCCAATAAACCACCCCAATTTTTTTGTTACGGGTTTTTAAATAAGAAAAATGTATTTATAATTAAGAAATGACTTTTGCCTTTTTTGCCAGGTCCCAGCAATGTTTTAGAAATGCTGGAATATATATGAAACTCCTTGAAGAATGGTGTAAGATGAATGTCACTCCACTGCTGACAGTGCAGCAGTAGAGTGACATTTGATGATCGTGCACTGCCTTGGCTTTATTTTTCACTATACACATAAACATGTCTGTCTCTGTCTATCTGTTTCTCTAGCTCTGTGTTTATCTGTCTCTGCTTATCTGTCTTCCTGTCTGCCTGTGTTTGTCTTCCTGTCTCTACTTGTCTCTCTGTCACAGAGAGAGTGAGCCACTCATGAACCAACAGGTATTACACATGATGCAGAGTCATCACGTCTGATTCCTGAACAAGTGAAAATGTGTATTACTTGCCAGTCATGCTTCTTATGCCTTATATCTACAAGCATAGTATAGCACTTTGTCTGGATTTTTTGGGTTATCCTTGGTAATTTACACTACGTATAACTGGATTTATGTGTACTTGTGAGACAGAGACAAAGAGAGATATAAATACAGACAGACAGAAGGAAATAGAGACAGCCAAAGCAAATCAGCCGGCTGGCCAGCCAGCCAGCTGGCCTACCAAACATGTATTACACACGTTCCAGAATTTTTTCTTTACCTAGGGCGTACGTTATAGAACATTCTGGCAGGATGATGTTACCAGTGGTATCAAAATTGAAAGGATGTTACACATTGGTTATTATTGAGGTTTTTGATATTTCCTCGGTATCTCCTGCGAGTGGCGGCGTATCTGAAGCTCGCTCGTAACTTGAATTTTGGCTCGCAACTCAAAGCAAAAAATTGACCGAGCGATGGCTCATAACTCAGAAAAGTCAAGGTACCACTGTATTTTAGCATTCAATATCACTCTCTTAACTGCTTTCCTCTAAATGATTCTCATGCTCACTATTTGATGATAATATCAGTACTGTCCTGTCTAAGGGCAATGTGTGGTGTAAATATTATGCAGAAAATTCGGAGTGTGGAAATTAGGAGAAGGTGTGGAGTTAATAAAAGCATTAGTCAGAGGGCAGAAGAGGGGTTGTTGAGGTGGTTTGGTCATTTAGAGAGAATGGATCAAAGTAGAATGACATGGAAAGCATATAAATCTATAGGGGAAGGAAAGAGGGGTAGGGGTCGTCCTCGAAAGGGTTGGAAAGAGGGGGTAAAGGAGGTTTTGTGGGTGAGGGGCTTGGACTTCCAGCAAGCGTGCATGAGCGTGTTAGATAGGAGTGAATGGAGACGAATGATACTTGGGACCTGACGATCTGTTGGAGTGTGAGCAGGGTAATATTTAGTGAAGGGATTCAGGGAAACCGGTTATTTTCATATAGTCGGACTTGAGTCCTGGAAATGGGAAGTACAATGCCTGCACTTTAAAGGAGGGGTTTGGGATATTGGCAGTTTGGAGGGATATGTTGTGTATCTCTATACGTATATGCTTCTAAACTGTTGTATTCTGAGCACCTCTGCAAAAGCAGTGATAATGTGTGAGTGTGGTGAAAGTGTTGAATGATGATGAAAGTATTTTCTTTTTGGGGATTTTCTTTCTTTTTTTTTTTTGGGTCACCCTGCCTCGGTGGGAGACGGCCGACTTGTTGAAAAAAAAAAAAAAAAATCAGTACTGTCAGTTGGTTGGGAGGGAGGAGATAATTGCAGTGGTGAGATGAGATTATATGATTAATGAGGATTTTGAATATTTCTTTTTAATTTTTAGAACACAAAGCAATGTCTGTGTAAGTGATGAGGGATTACATAATCACTTGAAGCATTCACTTAGCAAATTTTTATTGCATATAGCAAATTCCTGGTAGAAGTATGGTTCCTGCTTATAAGTGAATTTACACAAAGCAAGGAAGCCCTGTACAGTACCAGATTACATAATACTTTTTTTATTCTATTTTTCTTTTGTACAGTAATATTAATTTATTTTATTCTTTAGAAATAGGTGAGAAATTGGACAACACGTATGAAACTCGTAAGAGGTCCAAGTGTGCAGCCTGTCGGAAGTAAGTTCCATGTGATGTAACTTAAGAATACCTCCATATTTTTAGAACATGATCTCAGATAACATTTTTATTCGTTAATAATGTAAGAGTGTTTTGTCTGCATTGAAGCTCAAAATAACATTCATAGTAGTAGACTGAGCCATGGGAGTGGTGGTCCCCCAAGATCATTAACATGTAATAGAAGCCTTAAAACTATGAATGTTGGTTATTAATGTTGAAGATACTGCTTCCTGTTGTTGGTGCTGCCACTCAAATAACACATTGAAAGAAGCACAACGTTAAATATCTACTTGTCAAGCACTACTCGACTCTATGAGAAATATCTTAGTCATATCCTGTTTCAATTTTGTGTGATGACTGCTGCTTTGCTGAAGCATTATGGCTTCAAAGCCCAGTGTCATATATCATCATTCCATATCATCCTATATTTAATATTTATAGTGTATAGATAAGGTGCTTCATATATTTTGCTATGAATATCGCACATTTGCCAGTCACATAGGTTGGTTGGTTGGTGCAACCTCAGATGTATTTTGTGATAAATGAAAAAATCAGCAAATTTAGCATTTCACTCATTACCATTTAGTAGACATTGTAATATATGATAGACATTAAAGTCTTAATTATAAAGCTATTCCTTCATACTGCATTTATAGTTTACCTCTGGTTCTTAACTATTGTTGCAGCCTCTCTGACCTTGTCACTTGCATGACCTCTTGACCCTCAAGCTTAAAGTAAATTTAAATGTTTATAAACAAACATACAGTATACATATATACACCTACCATCCGACTTACGATCGAGTTCGGTTCCGAGAAACCGGTCGTAAGTCGAAATGGTCATAAGTCGAACTTTACTACTGATTATCAGCATCACATTTTTGTAATGACTTTATTTTATTGTTTTATTTTGGTATTTCATGTTTTACTTTACTTTTTATGCTGTTAGTACTGTATTTTATACTGTAAGGTTTAGGATAAACACTGTGTACAACACAAATAGTTGTTTATTTCCCAGAAATTTGGCATAAAAAACATGGTCGTAAGTCGAGTGGTCGTAAGTCGAGCAGGTCGTAAGTCGGATGGTAGGTGTATATATGTCTACAGTAGGGTACTAACTTATAAATGCCTGAGTTATGATAATCTGCACTAAGGACAATGTTGAGAAAATAAAAGATTTTTATGAATGTTAATTCACAGTTATGAACATGTGTGCACAAATCCATCCTTTGTACTATCATTTTCTGTTGGATACAGCATTCAGGATTACAAACAACTTGCTGATAATGTTAAAGATCAGGAACGTAACTCGTACATAAGTTGGACCACCACTGTATTCACTTATTCAGTTCTGATTATATTGTGATTTTTAGTACAGTATTATGATTTCTTCTGCATCAGGACCTGAGGTTGAGAGTTTTTGAAATTTTATATGAACATTTATAACGAGTTTTGAACGCTGATTTAGAAATATCACTTGAGGGTATAGTCATAGATATTGTTGCCTTCTTTGTACAAACAGAAGTGTAAAAGGAAACACGGTTCTTGACACACACATTTTCGATGCTTTCACATAGTGTCCTCTCACTGATTACTTTGCAAGTATTCTTGCCTCATGTAAGGAATCACTGCTCAAGAGAATCCAAATATATTTTATTTCAAGTTACCCACAGTTGTGTCTGTATGGAAATCAGACATTAGTTGCAGCATATTACCAAAAATGTCAAGAAAAGGAATTAGGGTAATTTTTTAATCCTTTTATTTGTAATTCAACAAAGCACCTGCTCTCTTGTATTAACGGCTTTATGGCAAGGAATCATTTACAAGTCTAAGTCATTAAATTAGTTTACAGATGGTACAAAGATTCAAGAGGAAGCTTTAAACCACATTTCAGTGTCTCCTGGACTGCTGTCAGATCACAGCAGTTGTAACACTGCTGTCAGATCACAGCAGTTGTAACACTGCTGTCAGATCACAGCAGTTGTAACACTGCTGTCAGATCACAGCAGTTGTAACACTGCTGTCAGATCACAGCAGTTATAACACTGCTGTCAGATCACAGCAGTTGTGACTTAGTAATGGTCAGGAATGGATTGAAACATTGTCTGAAGTTTCATCTTGAAAATGTGGACTATTTGTAAAGTATTAGTCATTATATTGTGACATCTTAAAATTAGATTTGTTGTGCACCTTCAGTGATGTAAACTATTTGCTGCCACTAAAACAGTCAGCATGGAGGGTATGTACCACTACCTTCAATTCACTTCTCATATCTTCATCGACAGGATGTACACACTGAGAAGTGTGTAGCTTTAGTGTATGCATGCTGAGAGTTTAATGCAATTCTCATTTTAGGGATTAAAGTATCCTTGACTGGTTGTGAACAAGACATGCAGCCTTGATGATTCCTGAAGTTTATAGACTGTAATACCAACACAGCAACTAATTGTATCTCCATCGTTAACAGAGTACACTGGTACCCCGAGTTTCAAACTGCTCCCAGCTTGACCAGTTATGTAAGTGTATTATTGTCGGTGCTTTTGTAAGTGTATTTTTGGGAGTCTGAAATGGACTAATGTAGTTTACGTTATTCCTTATGGGAACAAATTCATTCAGTAACAGCACTTAAACAGCCTTCTGAAACGAAGAAAGTTCGAAACTCTGGGTACCACTGTACTTGATTTTGGGTTTAGCACATGTCCCACAATTTTGCTGAAATATTTTATTGAAATACACATGCCATGATTCCTAGGAGAGCACAAGTGTCTTAGAAGCAACAAGAAATACAAGTTAATAGGCTGTCACAAATTGTCAGCTTTTTTTCACATTGAGTGATAAGTCACTATGGTGTAGGGTATATTGCTAGTGTATAAAGCTTAAAACAAAAAATATATACTCTGTTGCCTCATTGTTGTAAACAAGCTCATTTGGATATCAAAAATATAGTAGCTACTACTGTGTGCATTGTATTTTGTGTATTGTTTAAAGTGATAAGTTGTTGTAGAGATCATTTGAGATGTAGCTGGGCTGTATGCAGCAGGTGCTTATCATGTCTCAGACTTATTATTAAAAATCATGGGTTTTGCAAGAAATATTTTGCAATATAAGTAGTTTTACTAGAACTTTAAGGAACATATATGTAAGTAGAGTTACTGTGCCATGAATAGCCATTTGCAAAGGTACCTTGTTTGTTTTTAAGGTATGTATAAGTGTTCTTACATAACCTCGTAAAGTTACTGGTACATTATAAACGTCCATGTATGCGAGCTTTTTGTATGTAGTCTTTACTAATGACAGAATTTACTGAACAAAGCCTTATTTAATTTAGGCCTAATTGTTCCCTTCCTCATGGAATTTAAACCTTTAGTGAGAGCCAGACAGGCAGGAGACTCGTGGCATTTAAACCATTAGTGAGAGCTAGCAGGGGACTTAACACCAGTGCTAGATATTGCTTTTCATTAGTTTGTGGTAGTAAGAATTGCAGCTGCTTTTGTATGAGAGCACAGTTGAGTGAAAGTATAGGAAAAGACTGTAAATATAATTTTTTACTACTAATAAAGTGATGGCAGTGGTCACTTTATTACAATATTATCCAGTTGCACATTTAAAAAATGAAGTTATTAAAAACAAAAAAGCAAATCATTTCAACAAATGAGCAGATGTGGTAAAGGCATGAGAGATAGATGACCCTTGTGGGTTTAGTGCTTAGTCTTGATTGTAATAATAATAATGAGAGGTAGACAACTTGCTTATAATAATAATAATGAGAGGTAGATGACTTGCATACAAAAGAAAAGGATGACACGGCAGCTGGTGTATGCAAGGTTCATGAACAAGTGAGGAAAATGAACCTGTCATCAGCTGTATTCTGTTTAGCCTAAGTGAAGATGTCTTTATTTGCTTTTTATGTGGGATATACAGGAAACTAGTAATGTAGTGCTTCATATATTAATTTGTCCCTGTCTGAGCTATGCAAGACCTTGAGGCAGCAAGAATTAATGTAAAGTAAATAGTTACATCCCATTTTAACCCTTAAACGGTCCAAACGTAGATCTACGTTCACTTGCGTAGCACTCCAAACGTAAATATTTTTTTTTTACATGCTTTCAAATGGGGAAAATCAAGGTCGGAGCACTACGCGCGTAAACGTAGATCTACGTTTGGACAGTTTAAGGGTTAAATGGGATGTGCTTTGTAGTAAGGCTCAAACACACAAAATATATTAGGTGCTAATATTTGCAATTGGTTGTTAAAATGAATTTTATTAAAAGTACATGCAAGGTTTGTGTCTGGTAGAAGGTATTTTGGAAAAGTTGTGTTTTGCTAAGTTAGGATATTTTGCCAAGAAAGCTGATGTATGGAGTGAGAGAAGTTTGCAGTGAAGACAATGTTAAGGTGGCAGTTTGCATGATCATTAAGACAAAAATAACAATTGTACAATAATGCTAAGTGTACATTCATACATATATATACAGTATATAGAAACCTACCAAAAGCAGCATAAGGAATTTGTAGTTGTTGATTATGGTCAATCATGTTACAGTATTAAAATCTAACTGTTGACTGGGTATGGTATTTGACGCAAATTTTATCTCAGTACTGTTTTGTAGGTGTCGCAATCCGCCTCATAAATGCTTTTTTGTATCGTTTAGGAATGTGTACCATATAGAATGTGCCTCATAATTATAACCAATGTTGCTTTGAACAACTTTGTCTATGAATTTAATTTCAAAATACTACTGTATTTACTATAATGATATTTGAAACACTCACTAGTCAGTAACTGGCAACTAATGTTGATGGACATATCATAAGTTTTTGAACTGAATGTTTTGTTTTTAGTTTAAAGATAATTTCGAGATATTGATCATATAAAGATATAGATATGGGTCTTATGGAACACTGGCAGGGAATAAAGATGTAAGAGGAGACAAATTCTGGGTGAAATGAAGAGGCAACAAGGAAACAGTTTGTTCAGTGGCAGGGGTTTAGTGGAGGTGGTGAGACTATAAAAGAATAAACCACTAAGGAGACTGTACTATCTTGTTGGGATAATGGGAGGCAGTTATTGAATATGGAAAAGATCAAATTAATGAGAGAGAGAGAGAGAGAGAGAGAGTCAGTTTTTTAATGTAAATCCCAGTTAGTATCATAGACATCTTGACACATGAAAGCTTGGAACGTCATTGTAATGAATTTCTTTGCCTTACAAGGGATGCCTTACAAGGGATATCTTCTGCATATTTTCTGCTTGCTTCCCAAGTATTATTTGTGATGCAAATGTGAAAGTTTAGAAGGTGACATTCCCTGATAATTATCAAATGGTTGCCCACCCAAGATCAGACATGTGTAAGAGTGTTAGGTAGGAGTGCATGAAGACATGTAGTTTTAAATGAACGTGTTGTCGGAGCATGAGTAAGGTTGCTTTTATGAAGAGATTAGGAGAAACTGGTTAGCTAGACTTGAGTCCTGGAGTTGGGAAGGGCAGTGCCCACACTCCAAAGGAGGGGTGGGCATGTTGCAGTTGGAGAGGAATCTGATTGTAATGTCAGAACACTTCTGGAAAGGTGACGATCGAGGGAATGTTGGTGAATGCGTTTTCTTCTTTGGGTCACCCTGCTTTGGTAAGAGATGGTTATTGAGTTAAAAAAAAGTTACAGATATGTTGCTCAGAGTTAATCTTGAATAACTAGTGTTTTCACTGTTCCAACATTTTTATATAAGAGTGATGAATTTCAAAATATTATCAGTTTTTTATTTATGATACTGTGTATTTAGTCGAAGTTATTTCTTAAAAGTAGCAATGTGCAATATGTTTAGAATCCATAGTCATACTCTTAGTAGCTAAGGTTGAAGTTATGTCCTTTCAGAGACTCCTGTCCACTGGTTGTCTCTTATTATTACTGAACAGCTTCATTAAGACAAACACTTGTTGGCCAAATTGTTTGAGTGTTTGTCTGTGATTCAGACTGAGCATCTGATGTGTTGTAGAGTGTTCACCTCACAATTGAAAGAACCCTATGTTTGAGTCCTGGATCAATCAAGATGTATGTGTAAGATTCTCCAATCACTTTCTACCTCTGTTCACTTAGTGGTAAGTAGATGGTTAGAAGTTAGACAGCTGCTGTGAATAACATCCTAAGGAAGAGAACTGAAAGACTCCAGTCTTCTCTTTTATGCTGAGATAGGACTCAAAAAAGAAACAAGTTAATAGAATATATTGCATAAGTATTTAGACCACTGAAATTGGTAAAGGTTTAAATTCACTTCCTAATAATGTGCTCTCTGTCAGTCATGTATTTCTCTGGTTTATAACATACATATTAACATCTACTATACATTAATACACTCTTTATTCATTATAATTTTCAACAGTAGGTTGTATATTATCTAAGGGAGCTCACCATTTAATGTGAATATGCATACATTATACGTATATAAATATACACTTCTCAAAAAAGACTACTGACATAGTTAATACTGTAGTACCATAATGATGGTGTGTCATGTTGCCTTGTTCAGTGTTAGTGTAGGTAGCACTAGAACGCTTGACTAATGTACAATACTGTACATGATTCAGAAGTGTTAATCTGTCAGGTGCTGATGCACTTCGAATAAGCAGATTCTCCTTTAGCTGTGAATATAGCAGGTATTAAACACAGGACATGTTCTGGTCATGTCTTATGTGGAAAAGCTTCATGTGCTCAGAAAAAGTCTACATTTTATCTGAACACAAACAAGTCAAATTTACACACTGTATATCTTGCCAGTCCTCAAGCATGTCGGTTAAACTCTTTACGTATTTATTTTGCCAGACATTTCTTTATAATCTAGTCAAACTTTTTACATAGTCTCTCTTAGTATTTTAAGGCAGGAAATAGCTATTTTTTTAACCTGTTTTTGGAGATGGCATCCATTAACATGAGCAGTTTCTGTGTGGGACCAATAAGTGCTATATTAACATTGATTTCTAATAAAAACTCACAGAGGATAAAGAATCTTTTTTCCAGGCTTATTATTTATTATGTACTGATCTGCATTTCGTGACACAGTACTACCAACATGTCTGTGTTAGTCTCAATATCTTATGTGAAGTAGCAAGTAAACAATTTAGTGTAATAAACAACACTTTTTTTCCCATATTGCTGCACTGAAATAAGGTTGCACCTCATTAATATGAAATTACCCATACAGGTTTAGCACTTGTTATGGAATAATATGTGCATAATAATAACACTATCAGGGAATGCGTAGGGTTGCAAACCAGGGCAAGTGAGTCATATAACTCCAAGTCAATGGTTAACGAACTGGCCTGAAGTTTTACGACTCGCTTGCCATGGGTTTTAACCCCACCTGTTGTGTGGTTTGTTTACAATAGTGTTATTACAATTTTGAGTCATAATAGCGCTATATTATAACAATAATAATAGTAATAATGATTTGATATATGTTGTATAAGATTTTTTATTAATGTGATAAGTAATGGCAGCATTGCAGAGTATAATTCCTCGCTGCCAGTGTTTATTACACACACTGCTGCTGTGTGACTCTGGCGACTCATGTAGAATCCACAAGCCCCCAGGGCCCTTATACACTAATGTATTTTTCATCTTTCAAAACTATTTATTCACCATTTATTACCATCCTTCCTATGTTATGTTAATGTCCAGGGTTTATCACCTGGACCTCAGCAATGAGAGTAGCTACTCTCACCGCTGGGCAACGGCGACCAGTGCATCCATCCTTCCTAGACAATGCTCTATACACTGATCCACTTAGAAGAGGTACAGGTATTGTGCATACACCTTATCCACTTGGACAAGGTACAGGTATAGTGCGTACACTGTATCCACTTGGATGAGGTACAGGTATAGTACATACAATGTATCCACTTGGACAAGGTACAGGTATAGTACATACACTGTATCCACTTGGACGAGGTACAGGTATAGTGCATACACTGTATCCACTTGGACGAGGTACAGGTATAGTGCATACACTGTATCCACTTGGACGAGGTACAGGTATAGCACTTCTGATTAGCCAAGACTGTGAAGCTACAATGTACTATATGAAAAAACATGAAATGTGCTCTTTGCTGCTTGTAAGCAAGTGGATCTACATTAAGAGCTTAACTAGAAATTATGGAAAAGGCTTTTTTTTTTCTTTCATGCTAAACAAGGTTACCTCTTTTATTTTTATTTGTACAAATGACTTAAACCAAATTAAATACTGATGTATTTTATTGGATTTGTTATTAAGTAAACATTTCGTAATTCATGTTTCTGAGTGCCATAACACATGGAGGAGAGTGAGTGGGTGGGTGGGTGGGTTAGGGGGGTGTGAGTGTGAGGGAGTTCAGAGAATCGAGATACAGTGGACCCCCGCATAGCGAACTTAATCCGTGCAAGAGGGCTGGTCGTTATGCGAAATGTTCGCTATGCGAATTAATTTTCCCCATAAGAAATAATGGAAATAAAATTAATCCGTGCAAGACACCCAAAAGTATGAAAAAAAATTTTTTTTACCACAAAAAAATGTTAATTTTAGTACACACAAACTGAAAAAGGCATGCACAATTACATGACACTTACTTTTATTGAAGATCTGGTGATGATTGATGGGATGGGAGGAGGGGAGAGAGAGTGTTAGTGTTTAGAAGGGGAATCCCCTTCCATTAGGACTTGAGGTAGCAAGTCCTTTTCTGGGGTTACTTCCCTTCTTTTAATGCCACTAGGACCAGCTTCAGAGTCACTGGACTTCTTTCGCACAACATATCTGTCCATAGTGGCCTGTACCTCTCGTTCCTTTATGATTTGTCTAAAGTGGTTCACAACAGTGTCATTGTAACAGTCACCAGCACGGCTTGCAATAGCTGTGTGAGGGTGATTTTCATCAAAAAAGGTTTGCACTTCAAGCCATTTTGCACACATTTCCTTAATCTTTGAAGTAGGCAATTCCTTCAATTTCTCTCTCCCCTCCTTTGAACCAGTTTCCCCAGGTCTGGCCTCTTGCTCTTGAAGTTGATCTATCAGCTCATCAGTGGTTAGTTCTTCATTGTCCTCCTCCACCAACTCTTCCACATCCTCCCCACTAACCTCCAACCCCAAGGACTTCCCCAATTCCACAATTGATTCCTCAACTGGTATACTACTCCTCTCAGGGTTAGCCTCAAACCCTTCAAAATCCCTTTTGTCTACACATTCTGGCCACAGTTTCTTCCAAGCAGAGTTCAAGGTTCTCTTAGTCACTCCCTCCCAAGCCTTACCTATAAGGTTTACACAACTGAGGATATTAAAGTGATCCTTCCAAAACTCTTTTAGAGTCAATCCAGTGTCTGTGGTCACTTCAAAGCACTTTTGAAACAGAGCTTTTGTGTACAGTTTCTTGAAGTTGGAAATGACCTGCTGGTCCATGGGCTGCAGGAGAGGAGTGGTATTAGGAGGCAAAAACTTCACCTTAATGAAGCTCATGTCCCCATAAAGTCGCTCTGCCACGTCTGTAGGATGACCAGGGGCATTGTCTAACACCAGGAGGCACTTAAGGTCTAATTTCTTTTCAGTTAGGTAATCTTTCACATTGGGGGCAAATGCATGGTGTAACCAGTTATAGAAAAATTCCCTAGTGACCCATGCCTTACTGTTTGCCCTCCACAGCACACACAAATTATCCTTGAGGACATTCTTTTGCCTGAACGCTCTGGGAGTTTCAGAGTGATACACTAATAAAGGCTTAACTTTGCAATCACCACTAGCATTGGCACACATCAACAAAGTAAGCCTGTCTTTCATAGGCTTATGTCCTGGGAGTGCCTTTTCCTCCTGAGTAATGTAGGTCCTGCTTGGCATTTTCTTCCAGAACAGGCCTGTTTCATCACAATTAAACACTTGTTCAGGTTCCAGTCCTTCAGTTTCTATGTACTCCTTGAATTCATGCACATATTTTTCAGCCGCTTTGTGGTCCGAACTGGCAGCCTCACCATGCCGTATCACACTATGGATCCACTACGCTTCTTAAATCTCTCAAACCAACCTTTGCTGGCCTTAAATTCACTCACATCATCACTAGTTGCAGGCATTTTTTTAATTAAATCGTCATGCAACTTCCTAGCCTTTTCACATATGATCGCTTGAGAGACGCTATCTCCTGCTAGCTGTTTTTCATTTATCCACACCAATAACAGTCTCTCAACATCTTCCATCACTTGCGATCTTTGTTTCGAAAACACAGTTAAACCTTTGGCAACAACAGCTTCCTTGATTGCTGTTTTCTTGCCCACAATAGAAGCGATGGTTGATTTTGGTTTCTTGTACAACCTGACCAGGTCGGTGATACGTACTCCACTTTCATACTTATCAATGATCTCTTTCTTAATTTCAATGGGTATTCTTACCCTTTGAGGTGTAGGGTTGGCACTAGAAGCTTTCTTGGGGCCCATGGTCACTTATTTTCCACAAACAGCACCGAAAACACTGTAATAATACGAAATATTCCGAGTGTATGCTTGAATGTTACCGCGGAGGCTGGCTGGTAAACAATGGGACGGGCGGCACATGTGAGGCTGGCTGAGGGCCCACATTGGACGCGTCTCGGACGAAGTTCGCTGAGCGGGTTTTTGTCCACTATGCGGGGCAAAATTTTAGCGAACAAAGCGTTCGCTATGCGGATTGTTCGCTATGCAAGGCGTTCGCTATGCGGGGGTCCACTGTATATGAGAAAGCTAGACAGAGGAAAAGAGCAAGAATGAGCTAGAGAGAAAATGAGCAAGCTAGAGAGAATAAGCTATAGAGAGAGAGAGAGAGAGAGAGAGAGCGAGCAAGAAAGCTAGCTAGAGAGAGAACCAACTAGCTTGTATTCGTCTTACACATTTCCACTAATATTACTGTATCCTGTGCACAAGACACACAGACACACACATATGTACATACATATTAAAAACAGATACACATACCAGTGGCATTGCTTCTTTTATTTATATTATGCCCAACACATTTTGTTGCACTCAAAATAGAGAATAAGAGAGAAAGTGAGAGGGGAGAGAGTATGTGAGATTGAGAGTGAGTGTGAGCTTGTAAATAACTAACAAAGGAGGAGGGAGAGAGAAAAGAGAGGAAAAGGGAATAAAGAGAATTGGGTGTGAAAGGAGAAGAAAGGGGAGAAGTGAAAGCCTTGATAAATATCTTTTTTAGTTATGTTCACAATTATGCTTTAAAATAACTGTAAAATATATGGAGAGGAGGGGAGTGTCATTCTTTAGTAATGTTTATGTATGAGTTTGCATTAATTAAGTGGTCCCGCTTTGTTGTAAACAAGGCTGAAAATTAAGCCATGTTAATGATGATGTGCAAAGTTTGGAATAAAAAATTATTACAGTAAGTCCTCGACTTACAAACACGTTGAGAATCTTCTGTATTGTGTATAATATTATTATATCATTATTGTGCATAATATCATTATGTTGAAGACTTCCTGTATTATGAATATTATACAGCCTCTCCTCACTTAACGATGGAGTTCCATTCCTAAGACTACATTCGTAAACGAATTCATCGATAAACAAGGAGCATACTATAGTGGTAGAGGGTTTGTGTCATCCATCTTTGATATTGTTTTAATGTCACCTTTGCACCATTTATAACATTTTTAGTATATTTATAAATGTTTATGCAGTAGTGTACTGTATATTGTAATAAAAAATGGAGGAAATCATCTCTGATATACATTATTTAGGTATGCATACTGGTCAGAGAGCCTGTTGTAAGTCTGAGTCGTCAGTAAATGAGTATGTTGCTACATGAGAAGAGGCTGTACACAATTCAGGAGATCCCCAATGTTTGTAAGTTGAGGACTTAACTGTATAGTGGACCCCCGGTTCACGATATTAATCCGTTCCTGAGAGCTCATCGTAAACCAAAATTATCGGAAAGCGAATCAATTTTCCCCATAAGAAATAATGGAAATCAAATTAATCCGTGCAAGACACCCAAAAGTATGAAAAAAAAAACCTTTTACCACATGATATATTAAGTTTAATGCAATATAATAATTACAATAACAATAATAACAATAGAATAATCACAGTAGAATAATTGACACTTACCTTTAATGAAGATCTGGTGATGATTGATGGGATGGGAGGAGGGGAGAGTGTTTTTAATGTTTAGAAGAGGAATCCCCCTCCATTAGGACTTGAGGTAGCAAGTCCTTTTCCGGGGTTACTTCCCTTCTTCTTTTAATGCCACTAGGACCAGCTTGAGAGTCGCTGGACTTCTGTCGCACAACATATCTGTCCATAGAGGCCTGTACCTCTCGTTCCTTTATGACTTTCCTAAAGTGGTTCACAACATTGTCAGTGTACAGGTTGCCAACACGGCTTGCAGTAGCTGTGTCAGGGTGATTTTCATCAAAAAGGGTTTGCACTTCAAGCCACTTTGCACACATTTCCTTAATTTCAATAGTCATTAGCACCCTTGGTCTCGATGGGTTTGCACTAGAAGCTTTCTTGGGGCCCATGGCAGAAAAAAGCACCAAAAACAGTGATAATATGGATAATATAGAATGTACCGAATGTATCCTTAGATGCGCGCACACTGGCTGGCTTGTAAACACTGGACATGTCTTG